GACAAAATACATACAAGGTAACACAATCCCCCACAAACATGACTTCACTTAGCCCTATATGTAAGTCGTAAGCAATTTTTGGCTTCTTCTAATTCAAATGATTTTATACAGATTCAGGAAACCACACAAGTATGTGAAGGTATATGCCCAATGGATGCTCAATTATATCACAAGGTAGCTTGCTCATCTATGTTCATGGAAACACAATTCATAGTAGACAGAACTTCGAAACAAAATTGATGCCCATCAACTGATGAAGGCATACAAAAATGTGCTACATTTACACAGTGGAGTACTATTCAGCTATAAGAAATATATGACATCCTAAAATTTGTAGACAAATGCACAGAACTAGAAAAAACATCATGAGTGAGGTATCCTAGAAATATATAGTATGTACTCACTAGTAAATGGATATCAGACATAAAGAAAAAGATATCTAGCGTGCAATCCAAAACCCTTGAAAAGCGACAACTCTCTTGCAGAAACAGATGGAAGCAAATCCAGAAATCCACAACTAACCATGGTGAATCCAAGGACCAAAACCAGGAAGCAGAATCCTCTCATACTGCTCAGAGCTTTCATTCTCAAACTCCAGGGAACAGACATTTTCCCCAGTTTTATGGGTAAATTGAAATTGAGCTAAAAGCAACGGAAGTGTGACTTACCTTCAAATATAACTGACTTTGTATCCTTCACAATCTGGAGAAACTAAAGTTACAGAAAACACAATGTCCATAAAGCAGAAAGGGATGCTTGCTGCAAAGGATAAGGCCCGAGAAAACCATCCTTACAGTTAGTGGTCTGGGGAAATCTTCAGTGCACGGGTATCAGGCAGGATCCGGTCTGCACTTGATAAAGAAACACTAAAATATGTCTGACTGTCTGCTTCCATGAGCCTGGCCATGATGATCATAGATTCACCCTCTGAAACTGTAAGCAAGCCCCCAACTAAATGCTTTCTTCTATTTTTTTTTTAAAGCACTGAAATAATAAACAGAGGTCTCAAGCCTAGAACACTCTTTTAGGACATCTAGCAGAAAGAAAGGACAATAATGTTTCACTTCAGCTCTAATGGGGTATTCCTGCCACAGGTCAACACCAGAGAGTATGTCCCTTCAGCAGAGAGCAAAAGGTCAAGCCATAAAGACCCCTCAGCACAATCGAACTCCAGAGAGAGGTGTGCTGGGAACGGAGCAGATTCTGAGCTAGGAATTTCTATTCCTGTCTTCTCTGCTTGGCCTTTTTTGGGGTGGAAACTAATGTATTTCTTGAGGTCTATTTGTTTTTTTTTTCTAAAAGAAGAGAACCAACATAGGACTAAATTGCTGTCCCTTAATCCAGGAAACAAGAGTGAATATCAGACAATATATGCTCACTGCCAGTGAGTCCAATTACTAACTCTAAAGCAAAAATTGACTTGTTTGTTTCCATTACATATGGAGAGATAAATTGGTCTGCCTCCACACAGGGTTATGGTGGCTAAAAATGTTCCTTGATCCTACCTCAACTAGATAGTAGGACAGACTTGGTGTATTTACTAGGGAAGGCATTACCAGCTCCAAGGAAATAATGAAAGGTGTGGTGGAATAGTGGGTAGCACGAGCAGAGGAAGGATGTAATTGTAACAAAAATAAATTAC